TTGAGTAGATCTAAAACTAAATATATGGAATGTAATTTTAGTAATAATAGTTCTAGTTGAGGGATTGTGATTTTGGGTGATCAAGTCATTAATAAGAGTACATGTTTTAGATATCTTGGGTCTATTGTTCAGTGATGATGAAATAGATAGAGATATTATTAGTAGAATTCAAGTTGGATGGTGGCAAGTTATCGGATATCCACCAACTTCTTCCCCTCCAACTAACTTTTCGTTGGGCAATACTACAGGTGTTTTCTGTCTTTTGGTGGCATCTCTAAGTTTGCTAAAATTATTCTTCCGTTAAAACCACCTCAAGAGTGAAAGTGAGGGAAACTCAAGGTGAAATTTCTATTTGTTAAACGGTGGATTTCTGTTGTTTATGCCTTTAGCTTTACTAGAAGTTTGTTGTTATCTCAGCTCACATTCACAATAAAACAGATGATGAAACTAAAACCATCCTCACACAAAACATAGTAGTTATCCCAGCTCATCATTGAGATTTTGTAGCGAAGTTTTTGTACTCTCAAATTATAAAAGATCATTTTTCTTAAGATTAACAGGTCAATGGCCAAGTCATAAACAAGTTATCCTTTTGTTAGTTGGTCCTAATTTGGTCACCTTCAGGCTGCTAGGTTGTACCAAACTTACAATGGATTTGACGCAATGAGGTTCTGTCTACTATATACAGGTTAAATGGACTTTTTGTTCTTATTTTGTTCAAACAAGGAGCATGCCTATTTTTACTTGATTAGAGTTAAACTTGTTATTAGTTTTGGACTTTAAGATAAAGGGGCATAAAATAAAAAATAAAGTAAAACGTTTTTCTAAGATTAGATGGGGGCATTTAAAGAATATTAATAAAAATATTTTTGAGAGTAAGATTTTAGATCTTAAGATTTTGTCTGTGCATGAGGATGTTAATGTTATGTGGGAAAAAGTGGCTAGTGATATTAAAAATATTGCAAAAGATGTGCTTGGAGTATCAAAGGGAAAAGCTCATAATAGTAAAAATAGTTGGTGGTGGAATCCAATTGTGCAAGAAAAGATTAAAAATAAGAAGATTTGTTATAAAAATTGGTTTAATTTTAAAAATTCTGATAATTGGGAATTATATAAAGTGGCTCGTAAGGATTCTAAGAAAGCAATATGCGATGCAAAGGCATTAGCTTTTAGCGATTTATATAATAGATTAAATACTAAGGAGGGAGAAAGATATATGTATAAGTTAGCCAAACAAAGAGATAGGAGTAGTAAGGATATAGTACAAGTGAAGTGTATTAAGGATGAAGATCAAAAAATACTTTTCTTAGAAGATGATATTCAACAAAGGTGGATGAAATATTTTGCTAAACTTTTTAATGAAGATTGTGAAAATAAGATTGACTATAGTGACCTTAGCACCCTAAATGAAAGTAAAGATTTCTGTTTTTATCGGCGTATTAGTAAAACTGAAGTTAGAGAGGCTTTAAATAGAATGAAGGGTGGAAACCCTAGATGAAAATAAAGATTTATATTTTTATCGGCGTATTAGTAAAACTGAAGTTAGAGAGGCTTTAAATAGAATGAAGGGTGGAAAAGCTGTTGGACCTGATGATATTCCAATAGAGATGTAGAAATGCTTAGAAGATGAAGGAATTTCTTAGCTTACTAGTTAGGGGATTGTGATTTTGGGTGATCAAGTCATTAATAAGAGTACACATTTTAGATATCTTGGATCTATTGTTCAGAGTGATGGTGAAATAGATGGGGATATTATCAGCCGAATTCAAGTTGGATGGTTGAAGTGGTGGAATGCATCGGGCTTGTTATGTGATAGAAATGTACCCCTCAAACTTAAGGAAAAATTCTATAAGATGGTAGTGAGGCCTGCAATGCTTTATGGTGCCGAATATTGGCCATTAAAAGAGAAGCATAATACTAAGTTAAGTGTGGCAGAGATGAGGATTCTTAGGTGGATGAGTGGCTTTACCCTTAGAGATAGGATACGAAATGAGCATATACGTGAAAAGGTTGGAGTAGCTCCAGTAGAAGATAAGATTAGAGAGAGTCGCCTTAGATGGTTTGGTCATATAAAAAGGTGGCCTTCCGATGACCCGGTTAGGAGAGTAGAGGTATTAGATTTGACTTGTGTTAAGAAAGGTAGGGGTAGACCTAAAAAGACTTGGTTAGAAAATATTAGGAATGACCTTTCTTTAATAGATTTAAACGAGAATTTGACTTTTAATAGGACACAATGGAGAAAAAAGATTCATGTAGCCGACCCCACGTAGTGGGATAAAGGCTTGATGTTGTTGTTGTTGTTGTTTTTGTTGTAGTGTTAAACTTGTTATGAACACATCTATATCTAAATACCCATAGCCAAGTTTACCAATTGAGTTAAAAGTTTGGCATGGCCAGTAAGTACGGTTTTTTGTGCTTTAAATGACTCAAAGAACCCCACGTAGTGGGATAAAGGCTTGATGTTGTTGTTGTTGTTGTTTTTGTTGTAGTGTTAAACTTGTTATGAACACATCTATATCTAAATACCCATAGCCAAGTTTACCAATTGAGTTAAAAGTTTGGCATGGCCAGTAAGTACGGTTTTTTGTGCTTTAAATGACTCAAAGAGATGAGTTATGAGATGCAAAAATGATAAGGTCTGTTAAAATTTTACTTAGGAAATCATTGGGTATCTTTTAGTCGTACCTCTTAAGTTTATATACTTTTTCTGGAAGTAAGAAAGTTCAATTTATTCAACAGGGAATTTCTTTGATTATGCTTTAAATTTGTCATTTTAAGTTCCATCCCATGACAAGATGATTATGCTTTAATCAAGTTCTGAGAGAAGTACTATTCCTTCAACTGTTAAAGATTGTTTCATGGAATGTTACGATCTGGACCATGTTGGTTTAGCTAGAGAGTATCTGTAAATGGATCAAATTGAACTATGTTTTCATGGAAAACATCTTGAATGAAGTTAAACTAGATTGAGCTGCCACCTAAAATAGCACCTGCTATCTCTGAAGCAGCTATTGTGGATTTTTCATAATAGCTGCTTAACTTATCATCTGTAATTGGCACATTTGCTAAGTTTATATTAGCTGTTGTGTGTAGAAATTGATTTTTGCGGATTAAAATTTATTCCGATTAAAATGAGGAAAAAAGAAAAAGGAAAGAACAATCTGAAGAAGGAGCAGTTATTACGTCCTCCGACCGGATGCAGAGGAACATCCGTCGCAGGCAAAAAAACGCCTGTACCGAGGTGTACCGAGTTTTTTGAAAAACTCGGTACACCTCGGTACAGGCGTTTTTTTGCCTACGACCGGATGTTTCTTGCATCCGGTCAACCGAACCAAATAAAAGCGCCTGAAGAAGGGTGGCTTGCATTGTATGATGTCTTAATTATGATGGTGCTGGATGTGCGAATTATGATGATAATGTGGAGCAGATCAGTTAAAAGTATGGTGCAGTCATATTAAAAATGTTACTAATCTAATAACTGGCATTTGATTAGTGGATCCGAAAATGCCTTCTCTGTTTTGAAAAAAGTCTTAATAGTATGCTTAAATCTCGAACGGACATCTTCTAATAATGAATTAAACACTGTTCTTGAAAATCATTCTAAAATGAAAGAATAGATTTCTATATGCTCCGAATTAGCATTGGCAATTGAGATACATAATTAGTTATTTTGGTCCGTATATGTCCAATTTTTTGTCTAGTTGCAAGCAAGGCGGAGTTAGTTGGGCGTGAGGGGGCACGACCTCCCTCCTTAACAAAGCCATTGTTATTTGATATTTTTAATAGTAAAAATTCAATTTGGGTCCACGTTAACTAATTAGAGAGAGTCGTCTTAGATGATTTGGTCACATAAAACGGCGGCCTTCCGATGACCCAGTTAGGAGAGTAGAGATATTAGATTTGACTTATGTTAAGAAAGGTAGGGGTAGACCTAAAAAGACTTGGTTAGAAAATATTAGGAATGACCTTTCTTTATTAGATTTAAATGAGAATTTGACTTTTAATAGGATACAATGGTGAAAAAGGATTCATGTAGCCGACCCCACGTAGTGGGATAAAGGTTTGATGTTATTGTTGTTGTTGTTATATGCCCTGTCAAGAGAGATTTCTACTCTCTCATTGATTGCAAATCTTATCCTTCTGCTTTGTTCTCTTATTTATTGGCTTTGTGAATATTCACTTTACTATTGAACTCCTGGCAAAGCAAGTGTTGTGATTATAGTAGTCATTGTCTAAGCATGCCCAGTAGTTGCTCGTTCATAGAAGTTACTTACACATAGACTGCATTATGGCAATGTGCTGTTCTTGTGTTTCTTCTGTCCATTCATCTCAATTCTTTTCTTTTTCCGACAGCTTTTCCTACTTTCTACTTAGTAACTTTTGGCACGAATTGTCTTTTGCATTAGTTGTATGGTAAAAGGTGTTTTCTGTAGATTGTAATCATTTGGCTGATGAAACATGCCTGATTCCATCTCATTTGTGCTGATTTGAAAGCTGAGCAAGGGACATAATTTTAAATTTTGGAAAACTGTGTCCATTCCTGGCATCATCCTATCTTTTGACGTAAAAGCGTGTTTGTAATCATTTATATCATCGTGTTAATTTCTTGCTGTGTAGGGCTTCATTAGACTTTGGTATCTTGGCACTATCTTCTTAGGCTCTACCTTTTTTATGCAATCCGCAATGTATTTTTAAGTACCGACTATGATTGAATTCATGTTTAAATTTATAGTTGCTTTATGATCTTTATAATGTATAAGGATCGACTAGTCTTGACTACGAGTGTTGATATTTTACAATTCTGATGTGATTATGACTTAGGTTTCGTTTAGGATGGCTTTTTTACTATTTTTTTAAGCATCTTTTTAATAAATAAAATAAAATTTTTGTACTAGAATGTTGCTTTAAGAAGCAATAAGAAAGTGGTTCCAAACGAAGCCTTAGTTTCTAAATGGATTTGTTAATATTCAAGATTTGTTTTCTTTATTTTTATATTTCAGTATACAATTGCAATGATGGGTTATGGTCCTGAAGACAAGAGTGCTGTACTAGAGTTGACCTACAACTATGGGGTTAAAGAATATGACAAAGGAAATGCTTATGCACAGGTAAGATTGAACCTCTTGGTGCTGCATATCTGGAATGATTGGGATTTGAAATCCTGTTTCTGTATTTCTTTTTATTTCCCCTTAAACTCTGAAGCCTTCATTTGGCTAGCTCTACACAGTTTTTTTTTCTCTCAATTTCCATCCATGTTGAGCTTACTATGATCTATGGAGACTGAAAATTCTGTCATTCTAGATTGCAATAGGCACAGACGATGTATATAAAACTGCAGAGGCTATAAAATTGTATGGTGGAAAGATCACTCGCGAACCTGGACCTTTACCTGGCATCAGCACTAAGATCACCGCTTGCTTGGATCCTGATGGTTGGAAAACAGTATGTTTTTTACATATTATTCACACATTTATCATTGCTCTTCATTTTTTAATATTTCATATATATATATATATATATATATATATATATATATTGCTGTATGGTTTTAAAATTAAACCTATATGTTGAGATTATATTGCAAAAAATCATCACTTATATACTGCTACTTGTAGCTTTGGTTACCAGTTTCTAATATCATGTTTCTTGTTTTGAGCGGTTTCTTGCCTCATCTGGTCCTTTTGCTTTAGGGATCAATTTTGTTAGGATATTCTGATGCAAATTGTGTCAAAAAATTGTGCCAAGAGGTAATGCAAGACTGTTGAATTTGCTTGAAGAATAGTGTACTACAAACTCTTCAATTTTTAGTACTAATCTCATAGCAAATATACAAGTTTCAAATCTGTCATGGTATTATTATCAGACTATACTCTCACAATTTTTTTTTCCTTTTATTCTATAAATCATGTGTATAAACTTAGCTCCCTTGGCCTTCTTAACTCTATAGATTATAAGTATTTTTTTTTCATGGTTTTATGTTTAAGCAAAAACATGAAACCATGAAAGAAAAAACTACTTATAATCTATAGAATTAAGAAAGCCAAGGGAGCTAAGTTTAATGGAGGTTGAAGTGGAGGAATGCATCGGGCTTGTTGTGCGCTAGAAAAATTCCCCTCAAACTTAAGTGAAATTTTTATAAGATGATGGTGAGACCTGCAATGCTTTTTGGTGCCGAATGTTGACCATTAAAAGAGAAGCATAATACTAAGTAAAGTGTTGCAGAGATGAGGATGCTTAGGTGGATGAGTGGCTTTGCCCTTAGAGATAGAATACGAAATGAGCATATACGTGAAAAAGTTGTAGTAGCTCCAGTGGAAGATAAGATTAGAGAGAGTTTCCTTAGATTGTTTGATCACATTAAACGGAGGCCTTCCGATGACCCAATTAGGAAAGTTGAGGTATTAGATTTGACTTATGTTAAGAAAGATAGAGGTAGACTTAAAAAAACTTGATCAGAAAATATTAGAAATGATCTTTCTTTATTAGATTTAAATTAGAATTTGACTTTTAATAGGACATAATGGCGAAAAAGGATTCATGTAGTCTGATGTTTTTGTTTTTGTTGTTGTTGTTGTTTGGTTTCATGTTTAACCAAGCTATCCTGGCCTGGCTGAATCATTCATATTGAATGCTTGTCTTTTGCAGGTCTTTGTTGATAACATTGATTTTGCAAAGGAATTGGAATGAGCTACCTACACAATTCCCAAGGCTTTTTAATTTTCCAATCATTCTTGAAGAAGCTTCCTGTTTCAGATCTTAATCTGTAAATAAAGCCTTTGATTCTACCATGTGAATGTGTAACATAGAGTAACAACTGCAATCGGAGAAGACTGTAGATGTGAGTTTTATTTTGCAATGTTTGTTCATTAATTTAATTATCTTTTTGGGGGATTTGAGTTTCATTACATGTCATGAATGTCAAATAGTACTTTTTCAGTCTTGATCACTTCTAAAATTTGAGCTGCCTTTCTATCTTTAATATCAACAACACCATAAGGATACTCATTAGGGCATCTCCAACCGAAACTCTCATTTTTCACTACAAAATGCAGTAAAACCAAAAAGTGTCGTGATTCATCTCCATTGGAACGACATTTTGCCACCTTATTAGCGCTCGTTTCTTTCGCACCATTTTTAGACAAGTTCGGTATAAAGAAAAGAATGGCGCAAGTGAACAGTGCGACGCCAATATTTGCATCGCACTGTTCAACTGCGATCAAATGGCGGAGGAAATGACGTTCGTTTGCAACGTTTGAGGGCCTCCATTCGGTTGTTTGCCGAACGGTTGGAGATGATCTTAATAATAAAGGATGGTCCTAACCACCTGGAATTTAACTTGTTAGAAAGTAATTTCAGTCTTGAATTATATAAAAGCACTTTTTAGTTAGGCTCTAATTTTTTTCCTAGTGAGTTTACAGTCATATCACTTCTTACTTTATTTCTTATACAACTTAACATTTTCATAAGCATCATTTTTAAATTTGTCTAACTCATTCAATTATATTATCCTTTTCTCCTCAGCATCTTCAAATTATAATTTAATTCTTTCACCACCCAATATGCTTTATATGCTATATGCTCTAACTCTAAGGGTAAGTGATATGTTTTTTAAAATATTAGCTTATAAGGAGACATTTCAATTGGGGTTTTGAATGTATTCTATTAGTTCAAAGTGCATCATTCAATCTTAATGTTCAATCCTTCATATTTGGACTCACTGATTTTTTATTATTATTATTTTTATCTTTCTATTATTTATTTTAGTTTAGTCACTAATTTAGGAATGATAAGCAATTGCTATCATATGCTTAATTTGATATTTCAAAATTAGATTCTTCACTCTCTTATTGTAAAAATTTTCCACTCTGATACTTGAGATATTTCAAATCTTGAAAATATATTCTTCTCTAAAAAAATAATAACTACCTGAGCATCAATTTTGAGTGTTGTCAATCCCTTAATCCATTCAGAGCCATAATCAACTACTATCAATATGTATTGATTCCTAAAAGATTGAATAAAATGACCTATGAAGCTGAGTCCCCAAAAATTCAAATATCCCAACATCTAGCAAGTAGTTAAGGGCATTTCATGTACCCTCTAATGCTTATCACATCTTTTGGCATAATCATTTACATTTTTAAACAAGGCAGACTAATAAAATTTATATTGAAGGATGTTAGAAACAATTATAAATCCTCCAAAATATCCTTCATACTCTGAGTCTTGGCACTGATTGATGATTATTCCAATCTCCTCTTTTGAGACATATCTCCTAATGATTTAATCCTTGCATCTCCTAAACAAATATGGCTCGGCCCAGAAATAGAATTTGACATCATACAAAAATTTGTGGCTTTGATTATATGATATATCAAAAGGGATCACTCAACTCACTAGTTCATAATGTCAACATACCAAGGAACACACAATGAATGTAATGTAAATAATTTTTCATCAAGAAAGAATTCATTAAAGTCAAATCTAGATAAATGATTAGTAACCTAATTCTCAAAACTTTTTCTATCTAAAATCTCTACATCAAACTCATGAAATAGTAAAATCCATCTAATCAATCTTAGTTTTGCATCTTTTTTTAGTTAACATGTATTTGATCGCAGAGTGACAATTAAAATTTAGTGCTGATTAAATATAATCTGAATTTATCGAATGCAAAGATTATTGCTAATAATTATTTCTATGTTGTAGTATAATTAATTTGTGTATTATTGAATATTCAATTAGTTTAATATATAATATGAAATTAATTGTATAGTCTTTATCTTAAAACTGCTACAATGGCTTAGTCTATAGTTGATATATCTCAAAAAATTACCTTAATTGGGTGTGAATCTTGATGCATATTTAAATTAAAAACTTTCAAAATTAAAATTGGGATCATTTGTTCACTAACTTTAGAGTCAAATTAAATGTCTCAATAAGACAAACCCAACAACACCAAAATCGATCCAATTCAAGACCAAATTAGCCCAAATAAAGGGGATGAGGCATATTTGGAAGCTTTAAAGCATTAATTTGAGGATCAAATGATATTTAAATATGACATGCTTATAATCAAATCGAGTGGCTCAGCTAGACGAATTCAACGAGCTTAAGATAGCTCAATTTTGACATCATTAAAACACCTAAATGTTAAATGAATGCTCCATAATCGAGAGAATTATTATAAATCCTATGATGGAGCAATCTGAATTTATCATAGACCTTCTCCACATTTATAGAGCATGTCACAGGCAAAATTTATAAATAAACCCCCTCTTTGCATGAAAAGAACTCTAGGAGGCTTTGATCATGGGCTAGAGACTAAAGAGAGCTCTGAGTCGAAAAGTCTTGGAGCTCCACCCAGGCGCCACCACCGACAAACCCTCACCACCCGACCACCACTATTATAACTCCTCCCGACCATCACTATAGGACATCCATCCGATCGCCACTATTGGGTGTTTGATCAACCTCTATCACTTACCGACTTTTATCCCTTTGATCTCAATTGTCTGACTATAGTTCCTTCAACTTCTGTCACCCACTAACTACGGTCCTTCAACCTTACTCATAGAACTATAATTCTCACAACCTCTATAGCACGACTACGGTCTCTCCAACCTTTGTCTTCAGCTGATTATGGTCCATTTGACCATCGTTTCCTTACAACCATGATCCCCTCGACCTCATTAGCCCAATTATGATCTCTTTAACCTCCATTGATCCCTTTGACCATCATTGTCTGCCAATTATGGTCCCTCCGACCTCCGTCGCCCACCAACTATGATCCCTTCGACCTCTGTCACCCAATAATAGTCCCCTCAACCTTAGTTGACCGATTACAATCCCTTCGACCTCAATGGGCCACCAACTATGATCTTTTTGACCTTTGTTTCCTGACTACAATCCTACCGATCAAACGAGCAGGCCAATATTCTCTTGAGAACAATTCTCATGACATTGGGTTCTTCCAACTACAACCAAATAATTTGCTATACATGATGAATTTTTATATGTTTTGTCAATGCCTTTCCTTGAGGAAGGGCATCCTTTGTAACCAATAACAAACACTAACTGAATCGTTTTAATTAGGCAGGGCCCTGCCCTTTTTAGGGTTTTCATGTAAAAAGTAAGGTGTCACTTATGACTCTTAAACTCATCTTTTTTATTTGTGTGTACTCGATCCTCATACAAAGCTATATCTCTCTACCATCACAAATATTATGGCACACAATAATAACATCACACATTAATTCAAAGTTTAAAGATCATTAAGGTGAAATGATGATACCAAATTTCAAATCTGAAAGAATTACTTATTTGTAACTACTTAAATAGTCAACCATAGCTTATGCGAATTTATCAATATAACTCACTCCACTGGAAGTATCTAAAATCATATAGATCATAAGATTTCACTATATTCATTCTCCTAAAATCATATATAATAGTCAAGAGAGAGCAGTAAAATCAATAATCTATCCATACCTCCTAAATACAAAAGGATAAGAAAAATATATAAAACTAAATTAAAAGAAAAACCTGAGGAACTCTTATAATCTCACTCCATCTAATCATGATTCATTCACTGACCTAAAATCATTAAAATCCACATAATTAGCTAAAAAGCTTAACTATAACTCAAATTAACTAAAGCTTTCAATGCTGGGCTCAAATAATCAATATGCATGCTCAGTTCAATCAATAGAATTCAATTTCATCAATGATTAGTTATCATTCGTAAGGCTTAAAATGATCAATAAAAAAAGTAAGAAATCATTTCAATAAATCAATAGTCGGTACACGAATCAATAAATTCATAAAACAATCATACTAAAATCATTCACAAATCAGTAAATGAATCATAACATATAAGTGTTAATATTATTAGTCTCTACCTTATATTTTATCAATTATATGTATCATATGTAGTCAATACATGTATTTGTATCCATCATGATCTATCATGAATGTTATCTATGCACATTATGATTCTATTTATCAAAACTATCAATATATATATATATGCTTTAGTATATGATTTTTTAAGGTAGGACATCCATTTTTAATGTGGTATTTTCATTCATTCATTTGTATTCATCATTATCATTATCATTACAGCATCGTTATCATTTTATTATATCAGGTGGATTTCAAAAATCATTAAGAGTCGCCACCCTCTGTCCATCAACATAATCAGTCACTATTTAAAAGCTACAATTGGAATAACACCATAAACTATCTTTAAAGAAAAGCCTGTTAGTCCACACTCCCACGTAGGATATTATATTTTAAGAGCCAACCCATATTACTCTATAGTGTTGACAATCAACCTTCTTTGTTTTCATGAAATGTGCTTTAATGTATGAAATGCTTAGTTATATAAAAGGCGAGAAATCTATATATCACTTTATAGCTTTAGAAAATCCAAACTTTTATTTTACCAGGTAAAATTTAATAATAATACAGTTTAAATATTTATAAAATCCATATTAATCATAAACAAAAGCTATACGATAAAAATATGATAAATCACTTGAAAATATATTTATATCAATTTAAGAGATAATAAATCAGTCAAACTCAAAATCATTAAAAATTAAAATGAGATTTTAGTTACTTACAACGATTATAAAAAATCTATGAATAAAATTGATGGACAAAAATGCCCCGAATACTTTCTCTCTCGTACTTCTCTCTTCCTTCTTCTCCCTCTCCCGTTCTTACTTCCTGAGCAAGTCACGGTGGTGAGGGGGAGGGATGGCTTAAATGCTTAGAATTTGTGTGTGTGTGTGTGTGTGTGTACACACACACACACACTTTTAGTGGACAAATAATGCAACACTTAGATCCAGCATCATAATACTGCATGTTGAATAGAGAATTATTATATAATAAAGACTCAAACGCTGCAGCTGTGATTGCTGGCACCATTAT